GATTTTTGGTTGATTTCCCGTACAAATGTTGTGATTGAGCTAGTGTCAACATGAGTCACTTTTGACAAATAAAGCTTCGTTGTATTTAAGGTAGTTGTTTCCCAATATGTAGGTCAACCTCATGCATATATATATACAATATACATATATCATCTCATATTCAAAATATCAGAGTGAAATGGGAATGCCCTTGCGTATACTTATACATACATAAACACGTACATCTACCTACTTGTAGTCATGTGACAATGCGACGTTGCTACGTACGTGAAACTTAGTTATCTTCCAAAATCAAACGAAGAGCACTTTGTTGATCACTATTACGTTATAACTATATGGAAAAAAAATTTTTCAAAATTTATGTGTTTCTTTGCTGTCTAAGGTAGTTTTCAGTCGAAAACAACTACCTTAATACAAAAATATTTGAAAACTTAATAATTTGCTCTATTTTTCTAATAAAGTTATAGCTAAAATTTTAGGAACAAGATGAAATTATAAATTTTTTGAAGCACTGAAAAAAATTCTGTCTACACGAAAAAAAACAACAATAAAAATTATGTTTGAAATGACCCTCTTCATTCACTATGTAATAAAAGTAGAAGCATATTCATATAATTCTCATTTTCAGAGCTTGATTGTATTAGCCAGTTAAATAACATGATTCTCAAAATTATGTTAAGTTCTCAATTAATTACATCTTCTATTACGGTAGAGACGGATTAGGAAAAAATTATTAAAATAGAGGAGGTGGAGAATGAGCAGAGGAAGGCTAAGCAGGAGTGGGGGAGCTTGCTAAAATATTGTTGAATAAAAAATCACGTGAAAATAAACAAATAACTATGTGAATTAAAAAGAAGCTGAGGGAGAGTGGAGGAGCTGAGACTCACTTTTGTCTACACAACTATGTTTTATAGGAAGATTCATATTTATAAAATACCATATAAATACGAAAAAAAACGGTTACACCTCCCTCAAAGAATGTGTTCATAATTGTTACCCTAACAGTACACAATATTGTGAGTTAAGTAAGCACCATCTCGAAGGTGCGTTTAATTAAAAATTTTTAATAAAAAACAGGGACAAAATTTAGATATTTTTTGTAGACTTTGTATCTCACACCTGCATACCCCTTTTTCACCAAGAAATTTTCCTCATGAAGGAATGGGCGACCGTGTCACAGCAAAAGTTGCCTACCACATAGATCCTTCGCTCTTAAGGTGGTCTATGTAACATCATCACCGTAACAACAAACTACAAAAGTGAATCCAATAATGTATAACCAGTAATATAATATGAAACTATGACTTGTGATATGTAACAAATATAATGTAAAAATGTGCCTTACTGTACCAAGGCTATATGTACTCGTTGACAATAAAGCCTAAAAAATAAATACACTACATATGTAAGTATTTATTTAAAAAATAAAAAACCTGCATACCCTTATACACGTCAAAAATGAATTGGTAGTTACTGATTTCTGAGACTATGATACAAATTTGTTTGAAGACCCCTTATAGATACTACGTATAGTAATCAAAGTAAACTTGTATAATTAAGCTATTAATTATAAGTACTTAGAACTAACCGATTAAAAATTATAGTAAAATCGTAAAAAATCATCAAGGTAATAAAACAAGGAATACAAACAATGATAAGTATACAAATAACTGAATCGATGAAAAAAATTTTCTTTCCAGTATTTCCATGTACTGCAGAATAAATGTGTGACATCTCATGTCATATACTTAATATTTATTACTTTCAAAACACACAGTTTCGATTTTTAACTACAAAAAGCAAAAGCTTAGCGACCTCGAACCATCGAGCGGTAAACCTGCTTCTGCAATCGCGTGACATATAACTTACTTCTTTTGAAACAAGCTACAGTCGAAAAACTCGAACTACGCGTGCAACCTCCGTTAATCTTATAAAGCGCTCATTTTACAACATCCATCTGCAGTGGTACACCCAACAATGTGAATAATCAACAAATTCAATATTCTTTACTGCGTATGTCCACAAGAAATATCATACACAATTTCGACAGCGACTTGTACTTAATCTAAAATCCGAGAGATTAGCAGTTTTAACCATCAATTACTGTGAAATTATTGCACCACGACTGTGCTCGTGTCAGCTGAGGCTAATTAGGTTCAGCTCTGATTGGTCGTTCGGATCCACAACTTGACACGTCCTCCTTAAACGCAAGAGCATAAAAACTCCTTGCACTTAACAATATTCGCCTTTTCTCTTTCATCAAGTGCTCCAAAGTAACTATAAAGGTTGGAGAGTGAGTTCTGTTGCGTCTTTTAAACGGGTGTAAGACTTAGTTCGGTAATTAAGCTACGTGGTAAAAGCGTGCATTTCAAGCCAATGTAAGACTTAGTTCGGTGACTAAGCTGTGTGAGAAAATCTCGAGCAAACCAGGCCACTGTAAACTCGCCTAAAAAGTGAATCAAGAAGGAACAAGAAAGAAAGGATCGTCGACTTGGGTTCCGATGTTAAAGCAGAATGTTTGCCTAATTATTGTCATCGCCACGAGTACACTAATGTAGGATGAGGATCACGCAAGCAGTGGCTAAACAACGATCATAGAAGTAAGTTAAGCTAAGAAAACTATAAATTGTATTAAAATTATAAATTGAACTTTATAATTTATATTATTTGTTAAATCAACTATTTCCGGCTTTTCTAAATTAATTAGAATATCAGATAAGACATAAATCGGTTGTTGATTTAATTTACTTTCCTCATTCAAAATTATCCCAATTACTTAATTATATGAAATATTCCAAGATTCAAAATTCTAATTGATAGAAACATAACTCTTACTTAATTAATAAATTCAATATCGAGAAAAAATTAAATAAACAATGTATGACAAAGACCTATACAAGGACGTGAGATAAAAAGACGAATAAGATACGATACTTCCGTACGATATAAGACATAAACTCAAACAGTAGGTCAACGCCAGCTAGGCGTACACCACTCCTTTCATATAGCTCGGTGAAACCTAACATTACATCGCCGATTCAACGATTTAAAAAAAAAAAATACTGTAAATGAAAGCAAATAAGGCCTTTAGGCCGATGGCTGGTTCCTGACGAACGAAAATTAAATTTGTTTGTTTGTAGAACGAATCTGCGAGTTCCACCCTTTACTAATAGAAGTTTGGACGTAACAAATGACATAATTTAAACAAGCTATTATATACTTTTTTAATCATTTTTTAATACATGTGTTGAATTTTGGAGATAAATGTGTATTTTTTTTTTATTGTTACCTTGCTCCACAAAATAAGTGAAACTACATAATATTTTGAAATTTTGAAACACAATCAAGACACTTTTTTTATATTTTGAAATTTTGAAACACAATCAAGACACTTTTTTTATATTTTGAAATTTTGAAACTATTTTCAATCATCACTTTTGATGTTGGCCGTATTTTTTTCCTTTATATTAAATAATCATACTATCAGAGAAATCTTATCTAATATTGAGAGCTTGAATTATCTTTTCTTAAAAACTTATAGGTTTTGCATGACATTTGAAGAGTTAGTAAAGATTAAAAAATTGATGGTTACGAACACGCTATTACGAGAATTAAAGTTAAAATCTGAAATATTGTATGTATAATGTTCAATGTTTATTTATTTAAAATTAACTTAGACATAATCAAAACAGTACATAATTATTTATTCCATGAGCAACTTTTGACTCCTTAAAAAGAACTTACTTATTACAGAACTGTTATTTGATCTATGCGATTTGTCAAAAAAGTTTTTTTTTTTATCTGATTGTACTTACTTGACAAATATTATACATAGACTAAATTAATTTTTTACATTGACTTTATGATGGTGGTAGGAAGTTTTATAAAATAAAAAAAAGTGAATAAATTGGAAATGCATTAACAAAGTAAGGGTGCATAAAAGTAATTCCTATGCTGTAGCACAATTTTTATTGTTTCTACCATAAAACGAAATGTGGCTTTTTAAAATTATTTTATGTTATAAACTTCTCAACCGTAATAACAAAGTCCGTATAAAACGCTGATTTACTGTATGTTAATAGTTTACCACAAAACCAGATGAATGACATCAATATTTATAAAAGTGTACATTTTAGAATAATTAGCAGAACATTTTAATTATATTCCTGTAATTTAAAAACTTTTAAAACTAGTAACTTTTTAAGCCAATAATTTTTTTTTTTTTTTCAGTTGAATCATAAACTTTCTCTATTTTTCTTTGTTGACTCTCCATAACCTTTCGAAAACAATGAGCAAATATAAAAAATTATATTGATAGTTTGTCAAAAGCCCAGCCAAGTTTTTTTATTGACATCAGTCTCAGAATGTCATACATACTAAGCATTAAAAGATTTTTCTGATGATGGATAAAAAAATAGGGCTAACATTAAAAGTTAAAGTAAAAATAAGCTCACAAAAATTTTTTAAATTACACAATTTGCGTTAAAAATTATTAAATACCAAACTTGAACTACTTATTATCTTGACACTTAACATTTTTTAGGGCGTTTTACACAAGAAATTAAAGCTTTTTCCGAGCTTTTCAAGTCCTTCTTTCAAGCAGCTGTTTATATTTATTAATAACAAAATTATAATAAAAGTTGTTGTAAAGGTGAATATTTGTTTTCGAAATTTAACGTTAACAATAAAAAAAAAAAAATCCATAAAAAAATGCACATCACATTAATCAAATCGCTAGTTTAAATATGCCACTCATACTATGTATGAAAGTGTGCCTTAAACAACTTATTTGTTATCTCCAAGTACCACTCTTGCGTGTCGATATCCTTGGATAAGTGACTATATGAATTCAACATTAAAATTGTCAATACAGAGATTCTATAATACTCTTGCAAACAAACTGTACTTGAAAAAATTGCTACTGTTATTGTCTCTTAAATATATGAAAAAATTGTTATTTAAGTCTTATAGAATATATCATGAAAAAACTTTGTACATACCTCTCCAATATATTTTTGCTAGTTTCTGATGTAAATCAGGATGTCCACTCATAAAGTTATTACTACTCCACTTGACAGCATTCTGTACAAATATCTCCCTTTCAGGAGATGTTGGATTCATGAGAGAAAAAAGTTTTATAATATTTTCAAAAAATGTTTGCGATGGTTCCAATCTAGATTTTTTTAAAACGTCAATATATAGTATTCCAAGATCAGCCCCACTTGTATACTAAAATATTCAAACATACACATATATGAGTAAATGGATTTGAAAGAATTGCTTTAAAAGAACTATTGATCATTTACATGAAAACGTATGTATTAAACCAAGCAATCAATGTAGGTAGTGTAATATTTAAAAAAATTAATATTTTTTTAAAAAACTAAAACTTTTAAGATTTGCTTAGTCTTCTCTCTCCATACCACACAGAAAGGCGTTTTTAATTCTTTTTAGTCATAGAGTTTTATATTGTCTGTTTGTAATTTTTTTTTTTTTTAATGTTACAGGTCTTTCATAATGTCTAATTTTTAAGAGCTCAGCAGAGTCCAAGTGGCTTGGTGTCCTAACATCGTGAAATGTAATCTCAAAGAGGCCATTAGAACAATGGCGAAATCTTTATTGATAAGCGATAATGGTAGTTTTCCTACGAGTTTGAAAAGTCTCTGTTTGCGAACCGAGAGGTTTGCGGCCCGAGCCGAAGGCGAGGGACGTAACGAGGTTCGTAAAGGAGACTTTTCGAACGAGTTCCGGAAAACTGCTTTTTCGCCCGTGGAAGTACCAGCCTCCCAAAACCACCCGAGGGTGGAAAAAATATTTATACCCCAAAATCACCTGTTGTGTTATATTATCATGTCTTAAACTAAAAATTATTCAAATGGTATATAAGATTATTAAAAATTAATCTAATTTCGTCAATGGGTAATTATTAATACGACTAATAAAATTTATCGACATTTTTCCATCCATTACGAAACTGCCAAAGCAACTCGATTTTTTCTATTAAAACTACGATTTGTAGAAAAATTGTCATACGTAGCAATTGAAAAAAGTGCCACCTCGATCAATATTTAAACCTGGAACTCTTTTCTTGCCGGAAAAGTGCGTCACCGATTTCGTCACCGTGGTCTCGGCCATTCCGCTCCTCAATTGCTACATTTTATACTTTCAGCGATTTTTAGCCGACACCTGCACATATGGTATATAAGAATATTAGAAATAAATCTTATTTTATCGATGGGTAAGAGTCCCAAGTTCAAATCCTGCTCGAGGTAGTACTTTTTTTCAATTGCTACGTATGACAATTTTTCTACGAATAGTAGCTTTCACTAAAAAAATTGAGTTGCCTTGGCAATCGCGTACTAGATGAAAAAATGTCGATAAATTTAATCACTCGCATGAATACCTACCCATCGATAAAATTCGATTAATTTTTAATATTCTTACACCATATGAGCAGGCGTCGACTAAAAATCGCCGAAAGTATAAAATGTAGCAATTAAGAAGAGGAATCGCCGAGATCTCGGTGGCGAAATTGGTAACGTGCTTTCCCGGCAAGAAAAGAGTTCCGGATCCAAATCCTGGTCGAGGTAGCACTTTTTTTCAATTACTACGTACGACAATTTTTCTAAAAATAGTAGTTTTAACTACAAAAATTGAGTTAATTTAACAATCTCGCACTAGATGGAAAAATGTCGATAAATTCATTTACCCTAAAAACTATTTGTAAATAAAATTTTCTTGTACTCCTTGGAAGTAATGATTTTAAAAATTTTTCAGGTTTTAGTTAACTTTATAATTTTAATTATTTCTGATTTAGTGCTTACTTTTATCAAATTGTAGTAGATATTATTTGAAAAAAAGTCGCTGAGATTGTGTCCAGAATTATGATGGTATAAGAGTAAATGCACACACCATTTGAGCTGCCATTACGCAATCAAAAGAGAAGGTCTGAAAATTTTTTTTTTTAGCTATTAATTGACTAATATAACAAGAATATGTACAGCTATTAGATGCACGCGCAGTGCAAGAAATCAGGTCAGATCACATAATATGTAATAAAAGAGTTACTGCAACTGATGATAGTAGCGATGAGTCTAGAGTATTGGCAATAAACGTTGATCTCTATCTTTTTGAACTAAAGTACGAGTAATGAAAAAAAATTATAATGTTGTTTTATATTCTAGCTGCAAATATCTTTAGTATTAAGGAATAGTGAATGTAAATTTGTGCAACCAAGAAACATTTTAGATGATTCATTGGGAACGAGGGTACATTTTATATTATCAATGAATCATATAATTACAGAAATGTCAGTTGAAATCTGGTACCATACAGATATAATTATAGAGTGCGCTTATTATACTAATGCATGAAAAAGGAAGCGTTACTATAAAAGAGAGAGATAGCTGTTTAGTGTCCTTTTCGTCTCTTTCTAGCCGAGCGCTACAATTGGCTGCTCTCGAGCACCAGCAGATCACAGCACTTAGGTAGGAAGAGACAGATAGGATACTCAGTGACCATCTCCTCCTTCTACCAAATCGTTATATTAAGCCTTTAGAGCACTATATCCTTACATCTCTATGTCTGGTACGTTCCTTGAACAAACAGTACCGAATTGACATTGACTGGTAAGTAGGACATGGACATGTACATGGTGTTCCAGAAAAAAAGCAAGAAGAATAAGCATGTGTTTAACTCAGACAGGAATGAAACCCCCTGTTTTTTTTTAAATAGAAGAATAAGTGACGTTTTTTTTTTAAGAGGGTAAAATAGGGGTTTTTTAAATTACGCTGATAGATTTTAAGATTAAATTTTGATGAAATAAGCATGATCTTAAAGTTAACATATAAAGAAAGTCTCAAAATTTTTCAGTAATGGTTCATTTAGATTAAAAAATTTTATCAACTACAAAAGATTACGGAAATCATTTTAAATACGTTTAATTTTTTTATTCATCGTTTTATCAATCAATTTAGACTTTCATTTGTTAATTTGTGATCTCAGATTATCAACTAGACAATTTTTTTCTTTCTCTCTTAACTGTCCTACAGATAACATCAACTGTTGAAGTATTACTGTACTTGGAGCAGGTTTCAAACTTTAAGAAGTTTCAGCTAATAATTAGGCATTGCTTTTGCATCATTTTCTGACTTTTTAAAGTCTTTTTCATCTTTTTTAGTTGTTTTTCTACATTTTGTGTGCATACATAATCTTCTTTATTATTTTTAAAATTTTACTTTTCCTTTGCCTCATTTTTTTCGAGTTCCTTTTCAAGTCTGTTCTCTTTTATCAATTTTTTTGGTTCTCCAAATGAAAGAAATACTTCAATTCTGCAGTCTTAGATAATTTTAGCAATTCAGTTGTAATCGGTACTTGATAAGGATTTAAATTAAAACTTTTCAAGCCATCACGAACTATTAATCTGGCATCAAGCGTTCTTTCTTGCATATTTGTTTGATTATCCCTCAAAATTTGACCTGATTCAGAAAATCCACGGTTAGAAATAAAGCGGCTTTTACAACCTTATTAATTAAAGAGTATCACTCTATTGACTCGTTTTGAAGTGAACAAATTGATGCCCACTATTCATCGACTCGTTGACTCTTTTTTTCCATTGAAGATACATCTGAACCTAACTGAAGCAGTCTCCATTCAATTTTTCGATCATAAAAGTCCACTTCAGTTCATGGAAACAATATCGCAATTCTTAAAATATAATCACAACTCTTTGAACTTGTTATGTTTTCTGGAGCAAGACACTCTTTTAAACTTTGAACATTTAACGTTTTTTTATAAATATGCGTTATAAGAGCTACGTAACATTTTTTGGCATCAGCTAAGAATAATAATTTCTCTTTAATTGGTGATATATTAACAGACTTTCCAGCTTCTTCACTTATCTCTACATCACATTAGTTTCGTAAACTTTTATCTACAAACCATTTTTTAATATCTGCTTTGAAAATATCCAGTTTAAGAATTGGTGGATCAGTCTTCACAATACTAAAAATTAAAATAAGTACTAACTTTTGAAACTGTGAATACAAACTGTGAATTAAAGACTCATCATATTACATTTTACAGGTAAATTTGGTTGTTAAGATATTAACTAAATACTCTGTAAAGTCTTGCATGGGCTTTAAAAATTAATCTCTCAAATAATTAACAATATTAATGTATCATTGATTTTTAATACTAACCTTACGTTCTTTTGGAACAAACTTTAGAAAATATTCATGTAACGTTGTAAGTTGTTCTTTAGCTTGCGAAGCAGCTGGACCCATAGTTAACCATTGCGTTCCTACATGTTTCAGAAATAAGTGATCAGGCAGACTCAAACGAGTTTGTATGGATCCAAAATCTTCAGAACGTAGGTGTTGATTATGAAAATAATAGTATAACTCAACTAAAAAGTCAGAAATATCTAAATCAAAACACTCTACACCTTTTATGAAGGCATTATATACTATGTGTAAAAAACAAGAGCCCATGTCATACATCTGTTTGCAGTTAAGTTTCTTGAGATATTCTTGGAACAAACGAAAAACTTTTTTATTAACATTGGGTCCATCTTGTCCTAAAGTTAAAACTTTGTCAATAGATAAAGAATTTTCATCGAAAGCTTTGATCAAATCTTTAAAAATGTTTCAGCTTTGCCGTTTTCAATAAAATAAGTAGTTTAATATCGATTAACAATTCAATCTTAAAGACCAATACTGAACCGTTATTTGCAACTCTTTTTTGCCTTTTTTGTTACCAGTTTCATCTTATTGCATAAAAACAAAAACATCTGGCTTTTGCAAATCTTCTAAAAGAATACTTTTGAAGTAGGGTGAAAAAGCGAAATTTAATAAATACGGAACTTTTGCTCTAGATAAAGAGAAACCATCGGGAGTACCAGAAAACGTCACTGTGTGCAATCCTTTTTTTCGGTCGTAATCTGAGAGTGGTCGATTATGTACAATTATATCTAGTAAACAATACATTTCAGCGCGCAAAAATGAGTTCTGTGTACTGTATAATGATAACTGAACTTATTTAAAAGTATTAGAATTAGCATTCAAATTAGTACTGTCTGACTTTTCACGAGATTGACAATCAATCGAGTTTTGACAATCTCCAAGACTGTTAACCGGTATAAATGTTAATTTTTTCTGTTTTCTATTTAACTTGAATAGATTTCCTTTATGCACACCTGTACTGGCATGTTAATTAATTTTTTC